TTTTTTGCAGTGTGGCAGGGTGCCAATTAGCCCTGCCCTTTCACCTCCATCAATGAGCCTTCCTCTTCCCACCTCCATCATATTGAGCTTCCCTTTCCCCACCTCCACCAATGAGCCTTTCTCACCCCATCTCCATCAATGAGCCTTCCCTGCCCCACTTCACCAATGAGTTTATGGTCCCATCAGCCATCAATGAGCCTCCCCTCCATCAATGAGCCTTCCCTTCCCACCTCACTAGTCAGTTGAGCCTTCCCTTCCCACTCCTACTCAGTCAGTGAGTGGGGGGGGTTTCCTCCCCTTACCGGTACAGTCAATGAGCCTTTCCCCTCCACCTCCGTCAATAAGCCTTCCCTCTCCTCCTCCGTACAATGAGGCTTCCTCTCCTCTCCTCCGGAATGAGGCTTCCCTCTCCACCTCCGGTCAATGAGCCCTTCCCTCTCCCACCTCTGTCAATGAGCCTTCCCTCTCCACCTAATTCAATAAGCTTACCCTTGCCACCTCCGTCAAGTGAGCTTCCCTCTCCACCTCCATCAATGAGCCTTTCCTCCCCACTTCATCAAGAGCCTTCCCTCCCCCTGTCACACAATGAGTGTTCCCTTCACCACCACCATCATGAGCCTCCCCCTCATCCATGAGCTTCCCCCAACGCTGGCCGTTCCCTGGGACTGCCATCAATGAGCCCCTCCCCCTCCCGAATTATTAACGCCCATCAATGAGCCCCCCTCCATCACATGAGCCTTCCCTTCCCACCTCAGTCAGTGAGGCCTTCCCTTCCCACCTCAGTCAGGGAGCCTTCCCTTCCCACCTCCAGGGGTCAATGAGCCTTCCTCTCCCACTCTCAGTCAATGAGCCTTCCCTCCCCACCCACTCCATCATGAGCCAGACCCCCTCTACCCATCTCCGTCAATGAGCCTTCCCTCTCCACCGTTCAGTCAGTGGAGCCTTCCCTCTCCACCTTTCATGTCAGTGAGGCCTTCCTCTCCACCTCCGTCAATGGAGCCTTCCCTCTCACACCTCCGTCATGAGTCTTTCCTCCTCAACCTCCATCAATGAGCCTTGCCCTCCACACCTCCTTAAGTGAGCCTTCCCCCCCCTCCATCAATTAAGCCTTGGCCGCCCTTCCTCGGACTAGTCTTTGGTCGGGTCCTGACCACTGTCCAACTGGGAACATACCATAAGAGGTGCAGTTCTGGAGTTGCTCTGACCCATCGTCCAGACATTACAATTTGGCTCTTGCCCAGAATCTCTCACACTTGTCCATTTTTTCTGCTTTCAGCACAATCCACTTCAGGGACAACTTGTTCACTTTCACTGGGTCATACATCCCACCCACTTTCAGGTGCCGCTGCAATGAGATAATCAGTGTCATTCACTTTACCTGTCAGCACGGTCATATTGTTATGGCTGATCAGTATATATAGGCCTCCTGTAATAGAAGAACTAAAAAACCCAGCAGATCGGCGTGTTGATGGAATTCTAGTTCTGAAGTCTACAACTCCATCCCTGCGTCTGACTTTGTATGTTACATTTGAAGCTGGTTTTGTGCTTTCTGTTATGAGGAAGATTGACAGTGACCGGTGACCACACAGAGGCTGCAGTGCAAGTGAACCCTGCAGACCCGCCAGGCGGTCAGCATTCTGTCCCCAGCGGTCCACCTCCTCTGACATCTGGAAGGATTTGGGGCGATGCATTTGTACAATGAAAGTGTATGTCCCGGGTTCAGAGGCTACAGGCAGCAATATTCTGGCGCCTTGTGGGGAGGAAGCGGAGAAAGAAAGATTCATTGGGGGTTTATTAATCCTCTTTTTATGAGCAAACCGAGAGACTCCCCAAAACCACCCACAAAATAGTGACCTGTAACCCCCCCGGGCCGGGTCAGTTATGGGCTTACCTGGGAACTTTAATTAAAGCTAATAAATCAGTGGTGACCACATGACATGTACTTAGAGGTGATGCCTATATTACAGCCCGGCACTCCGTGATTATAGATGGATGGCAGGAAACAGTGTGAGGAGAAATGCCGGTCCTCCCCTCCGCGGGGCTCAGACTTCTCCTCTACATACTCGTTAATGAAAGCATCCCCCCAACCTCCCCTCTAAAAAAATAACTTTTACTTTATATGAGGCGTACTTACAAGAATAGAACATAGGAAAAGTTGTCAACTAAATGGGAAAAAATTTTTTGTGGCAGCATGCAGCCTATCCATTCACTAGAGAGAGGTGACATCACTGAGGATCAGCCTATCCATTCACTAGAGAGAGGTGACATCACTGAGGATGCAGCCTATCCATTCACTAGATGAGAGAGGTGACATCGCTGAGGATGCAGCCTATCCATTCACTAGAGAGAGGTGGACATCACTGAGGATGCAGCCTATCCATTCACTAGAGAGAGGTGACATCACTGAGGATGCAGGCCTATCCATTCACTAGAGAGAGGTGACATCACTGAGGATGCAGCCTATCCATTCACTAGAGAGAGGTGACATCGAGGATGCAGCCTATCCATTCACTAGAGAGAGGTGACATCACTGAGGATGCAGCCTATCTATTCACTAGGGACTGATGACATCACAGAGAATGCAGCCTATCCATTCACTAGGGACTGATGACATCACAGAGAATGCAGCCTATCCATTCACTAGGGACTGATGACATCACAGAGAATGCAGCCTATCCATTCACTAGGGACTGATGACATCACAGAGAATGCAGCCTATCCATTCACTAGGGACTGATGACATCACTGAGAATGCAGCCTATCCATTCACTACAGACTGGTGAAATCACTGAGAACGCAGCCTATCCATTCACTAGAGAGCGGTGACATCGCTGAGAATGCAGCCTATCCATTCACTAGAGACCGGTGACATCGCTGAGAATGCAGCCTATCCATTCACCAGACTGGTGACATCACTGAGAATGCAGCCTATCCAATCACTAGAGACCAGTGACATCACTGAAAATGCAGCCTATCCAATCACTAGAAGTGATCACTGAGGATGCAGGTGACATCACTGAAAATGCAGCCTATCCAATCACTAGAGACCAGTGACATCACCGAGAATGCAGCCTATCCATTCACTAGAGACCAGTGACATCACTGAGAATACAGCCTATCCAATCACTAGAGACCAGTGACATCACCGAGAATGCAGCCTATCCATTCACTAGAGACCGGTGACATCACCGAGAATGCAGCCTATCCAATCACTAGAGACCAGTGACATCACTGAGAATGCAGCCTATCCAATCACTAGAGACCAGTGACATCACCGAGAATGCAGCCTATCCAGTCACTAGAGACCAGTGACATCACCGAGAATGCAGCCTATCCAATCACTAGAGACCAGTGACATCACTGAGAATGCAGCCTATCCAATCACTAGAGACCAGTGACATCACCGAGAATGCAGGGTTCTCACAGCATTGAATAGTTGCTCAGATACAGCGATGAATGAGCCCGTCGTCCTTGTTGGCACAATCTCGGTCATAACTGTGTGGTCCGGCGTTGCAGCGTAGAGTAGTTCCCTCTATTGCCAGAAGGTGGAGTATGGCCGCTGCCTGTTCGGCTCAGTAATTCACCAGCAAAGCGAAGCAGTTTTCAGGAGTGAGCCGAACAGATAACGTGGATTCTCAGTTATACGGAATAACTTATACTTACCTGAAATTAAAGTGTGAAGAACATTCTTTATTGTATTTTTACTGCGGAGTTTATGAGCCTTGTAAAAGGTATGTTATTATAGGGAGATGAAAGGGATCGCTGTGCGGTGAATCACACCTCACCACACATTACCCATGAATCACCCTGTGGGAAGGATCAGAGGGTGTGCTCACCTGCAGGCACTAGGGGGAGCCAGGTGTATGACTCCTGCACCTAGGCTGGGCTCTGAGGACCAGTGTCCTCTACAATGCAGGATGGGTGTACGCCGATCAGCCATAACATTATAACCACGGACAGGTAAAGTGAATGACATTGATTATCTCATGACAATGGGATCTGAAAGTCAGCTATTTGGCAGCAAGTGAACATTTAGTCTCTGAAGTTGAAAGCAGAAAAAATGGGTATCGCGGTTTGTCGTGTAGGCACAGACCGGTCAGGATACCCAGGATGACCCGTGTCCAGAGCCAAAAGTGCCTACAATGGGCACGTGAGCGTCAGAACTGGACCACGGAACAATGGAAGAAGGTGGCCTGGTCTGATGAATTCAAGAATAGTTTGAGGAACATGACGGATTTGAGGTGTTGATCTCAACTCATCAAGCATCTGTGGGATGTGCTGGGAAAACAATGGAGGCCCCACCTCACAACCTACAGGATCTGCTACTGAGGGCTTCGTGCCAGATATCACAGCGTACATTCAGAGTTCTAGGGTGTCTATGGGAAGGCCGTCCACAAGGTTTAGGAGGGTGTCTATGGGAAGGTTGGACCATTCTTCCAGAAGCACATTTGTCAGGTCAGGCACTGATGTCGGGGGAGGAGGCCTGGCTCGCAGTCTCCGCTCTAATTCATCCCAAAGGTGTTCTATGGGGTTGAGGTCAGGACTCTGTGCAGGACAGTCAAGTTCCTCCACCCCAAACTGGCTCCTCCATGTCTTTATGGACCTTGCTTTGTGCACTGGTGCGCAGTCATGTTGGAACAGGAAGGGGCCATCCTCAAACTCCTCCCACAAAGCTGAGGGCATGAAGTTGTCCAAAATGTCTTGGCATGCTGATGCCTTAAGAGTTTCCTTCACTGGAACTAGGGGGCCAAGTCCAACCCCTGAAATACAACCCCACACTATAACCCCCCCTCCACCAAACTTTACACTTGGCACAATGCAGTCAGGCAAGTACTGTTCTCTTAGCAACCGCCAAACCCAGACACGTCTATCAAATTGCCAGATAGAGAAGCGTGATTGGTCACTCCAGAGAACACGTCTGTCCCCTGCTCTAGAGTCCAGTGGCGGCATGCTTTACACCATGGCATCCGCCGCTTTGCATTGCACTTGGTGATGGAAGGCTTGGATGCAGCTGCTCGGCCATGGAAACCCATTCCATGAAGCTCTCTACGCACTGTTGTTGGGCTCATCTGAAGGCCACACCAAGTTTGGAGGTCTTTAGCTATTGACTCTGCAGACAGTTGGCGACTTCTGCGCACTGTGCGCTTCAGCATGCGCTGACCCCGCCCTGTCATGTGACGTGGCCTACCACTTGGTGGCTGAGTGGCTGTTGTTCCCAGTTGCTTCCACTTTGTTATAATCCCACTAACAGTTGAGTGCGGAATATTTAGTAGCCAGGAAATGTCACGGATGGACTTATTGCCCAGGTGACCACCTATCACGGGATCACGCTTGGAGTCACTGAGCTCCTGAGAGCGACCCATTCTTTCACCAATGTTTGTACAAGCCGTCTGCATGCCTAGGGGCTTGATTGTATACACCTGTGTCCATGGAGGGGATTGGAGCACCTGAATCACATGATATGGAGGGGATTGGAACACTGAATCACATGATTGGGAGGGGATTGGAACACCTGAATCACATGATATGGAGGGGATTGGAACACCTGAATCACATGATATGGAGGGGATTGGAACACCTGAATCACATGATATGGAGGGGATTGGAACACCTGAATCACATGATTGGAATACGTTTGGCAATATATTATGTGTGTGTGTATATATATAATTTTTTTCTTTTTTAAATATTGAAAGTGACTTTGAAATCCCATTAGCATTCTGAAGCCTTGGTGAGATACTAGTGATTGTAGTGATTGGGGTTAGGTATCTGCTAGGCCTGACACGTCTGTATATGAGCTGATATGTCGGTGTGTCTCTTTCAATCTATCACTCTCATAGAAGCTGAGTGTTTTCGGCCATCATAATCCTGTCTTCAGGCCATGATCGGGGATAGCCTTACGTCAGCGTGGGGGTGAGTCAGCCTCTGTACAGTCACATAGGAGTCTCCTCCAGTTGCCTCTTTGTCATGGAAAACTTGCTGTCAGGGCGAATCTCTCTCTGGCCACACCTACTGCGCTGCTGCACTTTTTTTGTAAAAATTTCCCAAAGCAAAGTATAATTGCAGATTCTTCTCCATATTAAACGTGTGTTGTCCTTCTCCTAGCTCTGTAGAAGGAAGAGGCGACTCTCCGGCTTTTACTGTCGGCTCCGATCGTTGCATCCATTACGCATCACTGGTACTCGGATCAGGCGCCGTCTGGTGATTTTTACTTGGAAATTGGTAGTTGGCATCATGTATGCACAACGTGTAAGCGCATGTCTTCCCTCTCAACTGTCATCTTGCAGCAGTTGGATAGTTTATGAATGCAGACAATGAATATTGGGCACACGGCTCACACATGCTGCTTGTCATAACAAAGAGTCGAAGGAATTGTACGGTGCAGGGACAAGCTTCTACAGGAGCCATGGTGAGAAGGCCAAAGTGCTCCCTTATGCAGGCCATAGACGGGTCAAAAACCGGCCGTTTTTAAAAAAAATCGGTGGTTCAATAGGCCGACGTTACCACCAACGGTAAAAAAAAAAATCGGCCGATTTTCGTCCCGTCTACGGCCGGCATTTAATTACTTCTGTCCCTGCAGAGAGCTCCGCTATTATATTTGACATGAAAAAGTCTTGCGTTTGCAACAATGTATCTATTTGTATCCATTTCAGATACAGATGTTTTTATTCGGATACAAATAGATACATTGTTGCAACCGCAAGACTTTTTCATGTAAGATATAATAGCGGCAAGACCACTTCCTGTTATCTCACATATATATTCGGATTATTATAGCCAAATTTACCCCCCTAACTCCTCCCACAGTTTTTACACTACATAGACAGTAATATACGGAAACGTGCGGATTGTTCCTGATTGGTGAGCTATTACTTTGTGGAACGTTTCGCCGAATGGTTCACGAAATATCGCCATTTTTGTGGTGAAATTGGTCCCATAGGAATGAATGGCGGAATGTTCAAAACTAGAGTGGGAGCTGAAAAATCAGGACATGATTTCTAAACTGCCATCACTCCCTCATTTTCAAGCCCACCTACACAAATCTTATATCAAAACGTTCAGCTATCCCTGCTGCCACTAAACATGTCCACGGCTAAGCCATAGTCCTGATAGTTTTCACAATATGACCATTTGTTTGCAACGCACGCCGCCCATTGACATTCATTGAAACTCCACTCTAGACACCTGAAATTTGAAGGGCAATTTCTAAACTGCGACTGTGCTTTCATTTTTTAATATTTCTGAGACATACTATACATCACAATGTAGGTCTGGGTCTTGTGATTCTCACAATATAAAGCTCTTCGGTGTAGGATTTATAATTTTTAAACTACAACCGTTTGAAGATGGCAACTGCCAGTGAAGTGAGCAAGTTGGAGCAGTTTGTTTTTTACCGCCCTTCTCTGCCCTTGCTGTAGAGTGAGTTGCCATAGGAACCCAGGTGTGTGAGCAGTCAGCAGAGTGGCAAGCCACTCCACCCAGTTACTCCGCCCACTCCAGTTGTAGACTACTGATGGAGGCAAGAACACTTCACACAATTTCCCCAGAAATTGGAGCTTTTCTAGTTCTTCTTTTTTTCTTCTTTTTCTTCTTGCAGGTCACGGCTCATGCGCATATTTTTTTATTGGTAAAATGATCGGCCGATTTGCCCATCATTGCCGGGAAAATCGGCCGATCGGCAAAATCGGATGATTTTTTCCAACTTTACCGATAAAAAAAAAATGGGCTTGTTTACACACATGGTTGGTTGGGGGGGGCCTAAAACAGTGCAGTTGAGTCACACTTTTACTGCCCCTCAACTTCTACCCCCTTTAGCTGCAGAGGTAGTGGCCAGGGGTGTACACATACGGAGGCCACGATGCTTTGCTTTTCGGTCACGGCAGAAATGCTGCTACCTGTGCTTTTTTCAGGCGTTGCACCCACCGAGCGCGACCCATTCAAGTAGATGGGCCTGCTCTGCAACTGCTAGCAGTAATCATTGTGTTCTGCCGACAGGGAGGAATACAGTAGCACTGCGGGAGAGATCCCCCCATCAACACTTACTGTGTTGATGGGGGAATCGAGTGGTTTCCTTTTCTGCAACCCGTGGTTGCTGGAAGGGAAATCAAAGCATCTGTTGCTTGCATTAGGAGTAAAGCTGGAGGAGTTCCACTTTAAAATGGTTTTAGGGTCATGTGACCGCCGTGATTCGCTGTCACGGCGGTCACATGATCAGGAAAGGTCCCGATCGAAAGAGGAGATCGGGACCTTTCCGTAAGTACCGGACATGTGTGCTGGGAGCAAGCAGGGCACGCGCTCTTAATTGCACACAAATGTGCGGCGGCTCTGCGTCTAGGCCCAGACACCGGGAAGCCGCACATTTGCGTGCGGCCGGCGTGAAGAGGTTAATGTGTTCCTTGCATTAGGATTAAAAATGTTTAGGCATTGGTGTTGCCCCCCCCCCCCCTTATACTTACCTGAACCCTCATTCGATCCAGCTGTCTGCCCGTCTTCAGCTCTTCTCTCCCCCCACTTTCTGGTCTCATAGGCTTTGCTGAGGCAGTTGGAGCCAATGGCTGTCAATCAAAGCCAGTGATGAAGTCCCACTTTCTGTGTCAGTGGATGCAGCAGCGAGGCTCTGGAGCGATTGCTCCATGGAATGTGGCTTCCCATTGGAGGCACTTGGTGGATGGGAGGAGCCAGGAGCACCAACGAGGGATGCAGAGAGAGGTGATCGGGAGCGAGCACACACCAGTGCCCCAATAGCAAGCTTGCAATAGGGGCACCGCGCAATGTGTACGAGAGTCCCGGCTCTCTCCCTTTTGGCTGCTGTTAATCACAGCCTGTGAGGAGGGAGTGGATAATGGGGCCGAGTCCCATTCTGCTGTGTCTTTTGGACGCAGAGAGCAGTGCTTGGGAGTGAGCACGCACCAGCGTCCCTGAAGCAAGCTTGCTATAGGGGCACTGCTCAGGTGGAGGAAACAGAAGTGCTGGTGGGGGGGCCCAAGAAGAGGAGGTTCAGGGGTTTCTGTGCAATCCTATTGCTCAGAGCAGATAAGTATAGACATGTTTTTTTTTTTTTTAATTTTTTTTTTTTTTTAATTTCCTTTACAACCACTTCAAAGTAATACTAAAGGCTTTTTATAACAAACATGTCATACTTACCTTCTCTGTGCAGTGGTTTTGCACAAAGCAATCCTCCTCTTTTCAGGTCCCCACCTGGCACCTCCCCCTCCAGCAGTGCCTCCAGGGTAAGCCACTTGCCCTGGGGGCACTGCCGCGTGGTCATCCCTGAGCTGCTGCTCTATGCGTCCATAAGACACATAGAGCCGTGGCTCGCCAACCCCCCCCCCCCCCCGATATATATACTGTCTGTGACGGGAGTCACTGTGGTTGGGGGACCCATGGAACCCAGCTCACTTTGGAGAGGTGGGAGATCCCTGTCTCAGCTCCCTTACCTGCTCTGTGCAGTGGTTTTTACACAGAGAAGCCCTGATCCTCCTCTTCTCGGGCCCCCTGCCAGCTCATTTGGCTCCTCTCCCTGAGCAGTGCCCCCATAGCAAGCTTGCTTCAGGGGCATTGGTGCGTGCTCCGCTCTCTGTGTCTAAAAGACATAGCATAGCGGGACTTGCTTCAGGGGCACTGTTGTGTGTTCGCTCCCGAGCACCGCTCTCTGCGTCTAAAAGACATAGCATAGCGGGACTTGCTTCGGGGGCACTGGTGCGTGCTCGCTCCCGAGCACCGCTCTCTGTGTCTAAAAGACATAGCATAGCGGGACTTGGCCCCGCCCCCCACTCCCTTTTCAAAGTCTGTTATTGACAGCAGCTGGAGACAATGGCTCCTTCTCTGCTGTGCTCTCTCTGAGCATTGCCCCCATAGCAAGCTTGCTTTGGGGGCAATGGTGCGTGCTCGCTCCCGAGCACCGCTCTCTGTGTCTAAAAGACATAGCATAGCGGGACTTGGCCCCGCCCCCCACTCCCTTTTCAAAGTCTGTTATTGACAGCAGCTGGAGACAATGGCTCCTTCTGCTGTGCTCTCCCTGAGCATTGCCCCCATAGCAAGCTTGCTTTGGGGGCAATGGTGCGTGCTCGCTCCCGAGCACCGCTCTCTGCGTCTAAAAGACATAGCATAGCGGGACTTGTCCCCGCCCCCCACTCCCTCCTCAAAGGCTGTTATTGACAGCAGCTGGAGCCAATGGTTCCTTCTGCTGTCTCTCAGGCAATGAGAAGGGAGGACTCCTGTGTACATTGGTGGACTGAGATCGGGCTCAGGTGAGTATTAGGGAGGCTGGGGGGGCCACTGCACACTGAAGATTTTTTACCTTCATGCATACAGTACAATGTATGATGGTAAAATAAACCTCCGGCCTTTACAAGCACTTTAGGTTGCACTGTAAATCGGTTCTGATCAGAGATCCAACGTATCCGAATCTTGTAGAGGAAAGCAGAGAGATTTCCCCTTGGCACCGGCATACGTGAACGGCCTCAACTTGATCATTAATATGTAGACATTTGATGTCATTTTATTTTCTTACCGTGAAAATGATTGATTCAGGATAAACAGTTGGATAATCATCATTGGGAGATCAGGGAATTATGTACTTATGTACGGAGATTAAACCCCATTACAGATTTTACATATATACGTGGCCGTCAATTAACCGTCATGCGAAAGCAGCCGCAGGGATGATGGAACCGTCTCTCCGTGGAATGGATTGACACGCCAAGGTGTTGGTTTTTATTCACACAATGGGGGAGATTCGCTAAAACTGGAGAGCGCAGAATCTGGTGCAGCTCTGCATAGAAACCAATCAGTTTCCAGGGTTTATTGTCAAAGCTTAATAGAGCAAGCTGAAGTTAGAAGCTGATTGGCTGCCGTGCCCAGACCAGGGGCGGACTGACCATTTGGAAACTCAGGCACTACCCGAGGGCCTGGGGTCAGTGGGGGGTCCCATGAGATGCCCCTGGTACCTTTTTCATAGGCTTTTTTGAGTTTGGGCAAGGACACAGGGGCCCCATGATCCCCTATTGCCCGGGGGCCCCATGAGTTGTCAGTCCGCCCCTGGCCCAGACGCACCAGGTTTTGCACTCTCCAGTTTCAGTTAATCTGGGTCTTGTAGATCTTTTCCCTTGGCACTGGCATGTGAGAAAGGCCTCAACATGATCTTTCTGAGAAATATTTTCAGTTCACATTAATATGTAGAAAGTTTTTATCATTTTATTTTCTTAACATGAAAATGATTGATCCAGACGCGCCCGTGCCGTGCCGCCTTTTCCAGGGTAAACAGCTGTGAATAATTGAATTGCACATCATCATTGGGAGATCAGGGAATTATCTACTTATGTACGGAGATTAAACCCCATTACAGATTCTACATATATGTGTGATGTCCAATTAGCTGCCGTGTGTAAGCAGCCGGAGGGAGGATGGAGCCGGCTCTCCGTGGAACGGATTGACACGCCAAGGTGTTGGGTTTTTTCCACACAATGGGGGAGATTCGCTAAAACTGGAGAGCGCGGAATCTGGTGCAGCTCTGCATAGAAACCAATCAGCTTCCAGGGTTTATTATCAAAGCTTAAAGGGGAATTCCACTCAACCTATCAAAAAATAAAAGTCAGTAGCTACAAAAAATGTAACTGCTGACTTTTAACCATTAGCCGCCCGGCCAATGGCCGTTTGGCGGCTTGAAAAGCGCTGCAGCTTTTCGGGTGCACGCCATTTGGCGTGCTCCCGCACATGCGCGGTTGCAGAGCGACGCAGCAGTGCGATCTGTCACCGCCCGTGCACCTCGGACACGGCCGATGACAGATCCGAGTACCGGCTCCCGTTGCCGGTACCATGTGACCTGCTGTGACCAATCACAGCAGGTCACATGACAGTTGTATACAATGGATGGCTTCATTCATGATGCCATCCATTGTATACTAGTGCCTAGCTGTGAATGGTCACAGCAGGTCACATGCACATGTCATGTGATTAGCTGTGACCAAATCACAGCTAAGCACAAAAAAAAAAAAAAAAAAAAAAGCTGAATGAATCGATTTCATTCAGGTAAATGTTTGCTTATAGCAAAGTAATTCTTTGCTATAAGCAAATTGTGTAAAAAAAAAAATAAAAAAAAAATACTGATCACTTCCCCAAAGTAGTACAGTGTTACTATGGTAACATTGTACTATTTTGGTCATAGTAAAATGTGAAAAAAAATCTTAAAAAAAATAAAAAAAAATGTAATAAAAAATTAAATATAATAAAAAAATAAATTTTTTTAAAAAAAAAAAAAATATATATATATTTTTTTTCATACTGTCACCAGTCAGTGTCACTGTTCACCGCCATGCCAGTTATATGATGACGCTGTACTGCACCGGTGACAGTATGTAAAAAAAAAAATAGTGAAAATAATTTTTTTAATTTTTTCATTTTCCGAAAAATTATGACAAAAAAATACAACTTCAAAAAACTCGCCATGCCTCTTATGAAGTATGTCGGACTGTCTACTCTGCAAAAAGGGGACATTTGGGGGATATCTGTACTATTCTGACATTTGGGGGATATCTGTACCGTCCTGACATTTGGGGGATATCTGTACCGTCCTGACATTTGGGGGATATCTGTACTGTCCTGACATTTGGGGGATATCTGTACTGTTCTGACATTTGGGGGATATCTGTACTGTTCTGACATTTGGGGGATATCTGTACTGTCCTGACATTTGGGGGATATCTGTACTGTCCTGACATTTGGGGGATATCTGTACTGTTCTGACATTTGGGGGATATCTGTACTGTTCTGACATTTGGGGGATATCTGTACTGTCCTGACATTTGGGGGATATCTGTACCGTCCTGACATTTGGGGGATATCTGTACTGTCCTGACATTTGGGGGATATCTGTACTGTCCTGACATTTTGGGGATATCTGTACTGTTCTGACATTTGGGGGATATCTGTACTGTTCTGACATTTGAGGGATATCTGTACTGTCCTGACATTTGGGGGATATCTGTACCGTCCTGACATTTGGGGGATATCTGTACTGTTCTGACATTTGGGGGATATCTGTACTGTCCTGACATTTGGGGGATATCTGTACTGTCCTGACATTTGGGGGATATCTGTAATGTTCTGACATTCTTGGACCTCAAGAAATTAGATTGGCTGTCAATACTTCAGGATTGATCAATATTCAGATCTATCCCATAGTTTGTGAACTCTATAACTTTCCTACAAACTAAAAAATACATCCTAATTTGGGTTATTTTCACCAAAGACATGTAGCAGAATACATCTCGGCCTAAATTTATGAAGAACAATTATTTATTTGTAAACTTTTATAACAGAAACAAAGAAAAAATTTTTTTTTTTTCAAAATTTTTGGTCCTTTTTTTGTTAATTTAGCAAAAAATAAAAACCCCAGCGGTGATTAAATACCACCAAAAGAAAGCTCTAGTTGTGTGAAGAAAATGATCAAATTTTAGTTTGGATACAGTGTTGTATGACCGCGCAATTGTCATTCAAAGTGTGAGAGCGCTGAAACCTGAAAATTGGCCTGGGCAGGAAGGGGGTAAAAGTGCCCGGTATTGAAACGGTTAAAAGACAGCCAGTTAAGTTGACTGGCATGTACTGTTGACAGATATATCGTTCATCCTACCTTATCATCAATGTATTTCATGTACTTGCAACCTACTCTTTTCTATTTCTTCTCTTTCTTACATTAATATATTTTTCTGTATTGTACTTTTCAGAAGTGCCTTGTTTCTGCTGTATGTATCATTTGTAAATGTACTGTTGTTTTACAGTCTACTTTTGTACAATAAAACCGTTTGTAAACAAAAAAAAAGACAGCCACTTACCTGTCCCTCGGTCCCGTGTTTGTTCCCCCTGAAGCCCGTTTCACTGGCCGTCCTGTATTCCAGGAGGCCGGCATCTTCATTGTGGGCACCCAGCTGTGACAGCTTGCGGCTTCATAGCCGGGTACCCACTGCGCATGCGCGAGTAGCGCTGCGTTTCATGAATGGTCCTGTAGTCTTCTGGGACCTGTCATGTGTCCCAACAGACTAAAAGGGAGGGAGGGAGGACACCTTCCGCTAGGCGATTGGACTGGAAGTGGGAGCGGGTACCTGTCAAATTCGGGTACCCGCTCAACCCACCTGCCCCCCAAAGGTGCCAATCCTTAAAGGGGAGCAGTCCTTAAAGTGGAACTTCCCCTTTTGGGTGGAGCTCTGCTTTAAGCCACAGTTCACATATTTATTTATTATTTCAGGTACTTATATAGCGCCGTCAATTTTTTACGCAGCACTTTACATATATATATTGTACATCAGTCCCTAACAGGGGCGGACTGACCATATGGAAACTCGGGCACTGCCCGAGGGCCTGGGGTCAGTAGGGGGCCCCATGAGATGCCCCTGGTACCTTTTTCATAGGTTTTTTTGAGTTTGGGCAAGGACACAGGGGCCCCATGATCCCCTATTGCCTGGGAGCCCCATGAGTTGTCAGTCCGCCCCTGGTTCTGATCCGTGTGCCAACATATCTGAGTCTTGTAGATATTTTCCTTTGGCACTGGCACGTGAGAAAGGCCTCAACATGATCATTCTGATGAGTTGTCAGTCCGCCCCTGTTCCCTAACCCTCAAGGGGTGTACAATCTAAGGTCCCTAACCCTCAAGGGGGGTACAATCTAAGGTCCCTAACCCTCAAGGGGTGTACAATCTAAGGTCCCTAACCCTCAAGGGGGGTACAATCTAAGGTCCCTAACCCTCAAGGGGGTACAATCTAAGGTCCCTAACCCTCAAGGGGCGTACAATCTAAGGTCCCTAACCCTCAAGGGGGTACAATCTAAGGTCCCTAACCCTCAAGGGGCGTACAATCTAAGGTCCCTAACCCTCAAGGGGCGTACAATCTAAGGTCCCTAACCCTCAAGGGGAGTACAATCTAAGGTCCCTAACCCTCAAGGGGTGTACAATCTAAGGTCCCTAACCCTCAAGGGGCGTACAATCTAAGGTCCCTAACCCTCAAGGGGTGTACAATCTAAGGTCCCTAACCCTCAAGGGGGGTACAATCTAAGGTCCCTAACCCTCAAGGGGTGTACAATCTAAGGTCCCTAACCCCAAGGGGCGTACAATCTAGGTCCCTAACCCCCAGGGGCGTACAATCTAAGGTCCCTAACCCTGAAGGGGAGTACAATCTAAGGTCCCTAACCCTAGGGGGTACAAATCTAAGGTCCCTAACCCTCAAGGTGCGTACAATCTAAGGTCCCTAACTCACATTCATAAATACACATACTAGGGACAATTTAAACAGCCAATTCACCTACCGGCATGTCTTCGGAGTGTGGGAGGAAACCCACGCAGGCACAGGGAGAACATGCAAACTCCAGGCAGTTGGTGCCGTGGCTGGGATTCGATTCAATGACCCGAGTACTGCCAGGCGGAAGTGCTCACCATTTAGCCACTGTGCTGCACATATATGTTGGCTCTCAAGAGCCCATTCATTTCAATGGACTCCCGTGCCCCGTGACACGCAGGGAAGAAGTCCCTGCACTTCTTCCGAAAACACAGCCAAGGTTCCCAGTACGGTTGCATTTTCCAGTGCGGGCGGCATGCCTTTAGAACTAATGGTCCGCATTTCTCTGTGCGGGAGGTGCGGCTGCACGGATTTTTGTGCGGATCCGCAGCGGCACCCCCCCGCACAGATGTGAACCTAGCCTCATAGAACAAGCTGAAGTTAGAAGCTGATTGGCTGCCATGCACAGCCGCACCAGATTCTCCACTCTCCAGTTTTAGTTAATCAACCCCAATATCTGCTGCAAGCTGGAATTATAGGACGCCCCAAAGTTAGCACCCCGAGCGCCGCGTCCCACTTCACTATTATTGCAGTCCAATAAAAATTCATTTTTATTGAAATAAATTTTGTAGGATAAATATTTTTTGCTGCTATCGTGTATATTGATGAAAGCACAAAGTCAAAGTCGCGAGTCAAGAGCGGTAGGTAGTACATCACATACATGGACTGCGACAAGTAACAAAACATTTCTCATGTCAAAGGTACATTGAAACGTTTTAAACATAGGAACAGCATGAATAAACCAGAGAAATATAATATCCCGTATCACAAAAGTAGGCGAGGATGGATGAGATGTGAATACTTCACTGTGCAAAAATCAGAACAGACAGATACATAGGAACTGATCTCGATGCCTAGAAAAATAACAAGAGGGGAAGTAAAAGAGAAGGGGGGAGGACAACAAGAGCGCCCCGACCCCGAACCTCAGGATCTCAGTACTATAACAAAGTGTAACTGGCGGTCAACATGGAGGAGTGGGCATGTTGGATCCATGGGGTCCATATTTTAAGTATCTATGTATCTGTTTATCTATCTAACTATCTATTCTGTCTTGTGGAATTCTGAAGACTGTACTATAATCCCTCCCTCCTAGATTGTAAAGCTCCCAGGATCAGGGCCCTCCTATCCCTCTTGTATTGATCTGTATTGTTGCTGTATTGTCTCCCGTTATATTGTAAAGCGCTGAGCAAACTGTTGGCACCTGATGAAGTCACGACGCACGTGACGCAACGCGTCGGAACGCCATTCCCAGTTCGAGATTACGTCACTTCCGGTCACGTGGGGACGCTTGTCCGGACGCAGCGGCCATAATTTGTTTCCCTCCCTGTATGTGAATGAAATACACCCATGATGTGAGGTGGAAAGCGCTGTATTCAAAGACTACATTTGAGTGGAAAAGAGTTTTGTTATGCCAAATTATTTCTAAATAAACGGTATTAACTATGGAAGCTTTTGTTTGTGCCCTATATGACGAGGTGAGAGGAGGTGGAGTGGAATCCAGAGGTCCCTTTGCTAGTTCTTATTGCCTGTGAGGAGATTGTTTTTGCCTTGTGGCCCTAATTGGGTCAAGGAGGGGAGGTCATTGCTTGCCTTTGAAGATCCTTTTTGAGCACTAGAAGTGGAATCACCAAAATATTTTTGCATGGACTTTTTTGAGTTTACTTTTGGACACTGAGTTTTTATTTATTGTAATTAAGTAAGCAGTCCGGGATATATGTATTACATGTGTTTACAGAATCACTAACCGGTTTTGATGTATAATTTTCATCACAATCTATCTAACGATTTGTCACAATTCATTATGTTACTTAGGATTATTATGTTTATTGATGTATCACTGATATTGAGGATTTTATCATGAATTTTATTTTAATTGTTACTTTTTTTCATCACAGATTTATTAAGAGGCAAGATTAATTGATATATATGAGAGGTGTTTATGTATTTTAGCTCATATGTTTTTTTATCACCATACAATTTGGATTACTTTTAAGTTCAGTTGGGAATTAAGTTATACACAGAGGGAATTCTTTTAGATAATGTGGGAGCGCTTCACTATTTAATGCATGTTATTGTTGCTGTATTGTCTCCCGTTATATTGTAAAGCGCTGATCAAAACTGTTGGCGCCATAAATCCTGTATAATAATAATAAATAATATAAAATCCTGTATAATAATAATAATTGTAATTCAGTAAAATATGTTGGGGAAATGTCCCCTCTGATTGTGAGTTTATCCTGAGATGCCCTCCCTGTGATATCAGTGTGATGCATATATAGCACAGCTGTTGCTTTCCCAGGTGGGTGCTAGGGGGCAGCACTGAGCATTGGATTCAACAAGTGTTTATTATTATTATACAGGATTTATATATTATTATTATTATTATACAGGATTTATATATTATTATTATTATTATACAGGATTTATATATTATTATTATACAGGATTTATATTATTATTATTATACAGGATTTATATTATTATTATTATTATACAGGATTTATATTATTATTATTATTATATATATACAGGATTTATATTATTATTAATTATACAGGATTTATGGCGCCAACAGTTAGCTCAGCGCTGTACAATATAACGGGAGACAATACAGCAACAATACAGTTCAATACAAGAGGGATAGGAGGGCCCTGATCCTGGGAGCTTACAATCTAAGGGGGGAGGGCTGGTGGTACAAAAGGTAGTAAACTGTGGGGGATGGACTGGTAGGAGGAATTGAAGATTCCATTATTAGCTGAAGGCAGGATCGGCTTCCCTGAAGAGATCGGTTTTTCAGAGATCGCCTAAAAGTGAGCAGAGTAGGTGATAGTCGGATATTTACAATATAAAACGGGAGACAATACAGCAACAATACAATTCAATACAAGAGAGGAGGGCCCTGATCTTGGGAGCTTACAATCTAAAAGTGAAGATAACATACAAGAGAATGTTAATATCCTCCCATCCCCCCCCCCCCCCCCTCGTTATTTTTGTATTATTCACATACAGGCGTACCTTGATTTACAAATTTTAATTCATTCTGCGAGACTTTTCGGATTGCGAAAAATCCGTAAACCAAAACGCAGTTTCCCATAGGAATGCATTGACAGCCAATTAATCCATTCTGGAGGTCAGAAAAAAAGTTAAAAGTCTTTTATCTGTTCAAAAACTGTTTATAAAGTGCAGTTTAAAGGCATAAAGGGACATGATTAAAAAAAGACATTTGTAAATGCATTAAAAACCAATTAATCTGTTCCAGAAGGCAGAAAAAAAAAGTAAAAAAAAAGTTTTTATCTGTTCAAAACTGTTTATAAAGTGCAGTTTAAAGGTATAAATACTGTCCAGGGACATGATTAAAAATTGATTCATAAATGCATTGAAAACCAATTAATCCATTCCGGAGGTCAGAAAAAAAAAAAGGTAAAAAAAATTCTTTTATCTGTTCAAAACTCTTTATAAAGTGCACTTTAAAGGCATAAATACTGTACAGGGACATGATTAAAAATTAATTCGTAAATACATTTAAAACCAAATAATCTGTATTGCGAAAAAAATTTGTATACCGAGCCATTATTTTCATTCATGGATTTTCATTTGTAGACCGAAAATGACGTTAACCGAGGCGTTCGTAAAGCGAGGTATATAAATTTTTACCACATACACAAAACGTATGTTTATATTCATAGTTTGTTTTTTTTATTTTTACAAATTTTTTTGCTGAGATGACAATCCATTTATTTTTTCTACATTTTTTTTATGTTATTATTTTTATATTTTTTTATATTTGTTTAATTCATGTATTTGGTGCCTCATACACATCACTTTCTAATACCCACGTGTTAATTTTTTCTATTCTCCGCACATATAATAATATTTTCTGTTTTCGACTATTAAAGGAACAGGCACACACTTCAGAACACCTCAATAGCACATACAGTATATGGACATATACAGTAAGAGGAGCTTCAGTCTTCCCCCAAAAAATGAAAAGTCAGCAGCTAGAAATACTGACATTTACCTGTCCTGGGATCCAGCGCTGTCCTTACCAGAGCCAATTTTTTCAATCTGCTGCAGGTTCCTCGCAGCGGCATCTTAAAGCGGAGTTCCGCTCACACTGTAAAAAAATAAAATTTGTCAGATACAAAAACTGTAGTTACCGACTTTTTAAAAAAACAGCTACTCACTTGTCCCACGATTCCACGGTGTCCTTCCCGCAGCCCATTTCACTGGCCGTCCTGTGTTACAGCGCGCCAACATCTTCAGTGTGAGCTCCCGGCTGTGACAGCTTGAGGCTTCAGAGCCGGGTGCCCACTGCGCATGCGCGAGTAGTGGTGTGCTTCCTGAATGGCCTCGTAGTCTCCTGGACCTGTCACGTGTCCCAGAAGACTGGAGAGGGGAGGGAGGGTAGGAGGACAACTTCCGCTTCCGATCGCCTAGGCGATCACAGCAGAAGTGGGAGCTGGTACCTGTCACTTTTGGGTACCCGCTCCCCCCAAAGGTGCCAATCCTTAATGGGGAGCGGGGAACCGTCTTTAAAGTGGAACTTCCCCTTTTGAGTGGAGCTCCGCTTTAAATAAGGGAAATCGGAAGTGAAACCTTGTAGCTTCATAGATGGTTTCTCACTATGCATGCGCAAGTCCCGCTGCTCTGTAGGAATGGTCCCGCAGCCTTCTGGGGACCTGTCATGTTTCTCAGAAGGCTGGGAGGGAAGGCCGAGGCGCATGAAGGTAAAAAGCATTCAGCCTTTACAATCAGGTGGAGCTCGGCCTGACTTATTGCAGCTTCTAATGCACCTTGTGAGAAGCTCAGTGTGAAGTGAAATCAGAGGAAGCTGTTTCAGTCCAGGAGAGGAGCCGGTACACACCTGTGCAAGACTGAAAGGGAGGAGTCGGTACACCTGTGCAAGACTGAAGGGGAGGAGTCGGTACACCTGTGCGAGACTGAAGGGGAGGAGCCGCTACACCTGTGCGAGACTGAAGGGGAGGAGTCGGTACACCTGTGCACGACTGAAGGGGAGGAGTCGGTACACCTGTGCAAGACTGAAGGGGAGGAGTCGGTACACCTGTGCAAGACTGAAGGGGAGGAGTCGGTACACCTGTGCAAGACTGAAGGGGAGGAGTCGGTACACCTGTGCGAGACTGAAGGGGAGGAGTCGGTACACCTGTGCGAGACTGAAGGGGAGGAGTCGGTACACCTGTGCGAGACTGAAGGGGAGGAGCCGGTACACCTGTGCGAGACTGAAGGGGAGGAGTCGGTACACCTGTGCGAGACTGAAGGGGAGGAGTCGGTACACCTGTGCTAGACTGAAGGGGAGAAGCCGATACACCTGTGCAAGACTGAAGGGGAGGAGCCGGTACACCTGTGCTAGACTGAAGGGGAGGAGCTGATACACCTGTGCTAGACTGAAGGGGAGGAGCCGGTACACCTGTGCTAGAATGAAGGGGAGGAGCCGGTACACCTGTGCTAGACTGAAGGGGAGAAGCCGATATACCTGTGCTAGACTGAAGGAAAGGAGCTGGTACACCTGTGCTAGACTGGAGGGGAGGAGCCGGTACACCTGTGCAAGACTGAAGGGGAGGAGCCGGTACACCTGTGCTAGACTGAAGGGGAGGAGCCGGTACACCTGTGCAAGACTGAAGGGGAGGAGCCGGTACACCTGTGCAAGACTGAAGGGGAGGAGCCGGTACATCCGTGCTAGACTGAAGGGGAGGAGCCGGTACACCCGTGCAAGACTGAAGGGGAGGAGCCGGTACACCTGTGCTAGACTGAAGGGGAGGAGCCGGTACACCTGTGCAAGACTGAAGGGGAGGAGCCGGTACACCTGTGCAAGACTGAAGGGGAGGCAGGAGAGAGGATTTTAAATCACTTCATTTTCTTTTCTTGCATTATCATGACCTGTTTTGTAGGAGATGCCTTTGAAGACACAAGACTAACAAACTAATATATAATTTTTGGGTGGATTGGCCTTTTCAGGTGATTTGGGACATTTTCTCGGGGTCGGGGGTCCGGGGGCGATCGTATGTGACGGTAGACTGTGTGAGCGGGACGCGGAGGTTACATAAGTCGGACCTTTTGTCTGGAGTACAGGGAGGATGGAACATGGTGTATCTGCTGCACGGAAAAAATGTTTAATAATGCGATGGAAGTAAACACAGGACTTACCCTGCCATAAACATCACCGGCCCTTCAAAGCGCACATCCAAACTGTTTACATAGCGTGACTCATTTATTTTCATGTTTCAGCGCACCGAGCCGCCATCGCATCGCCCCGTGTTCAGCGCAGGGCCCGAGAATTAATACCTTAATAATGTGTTAATTTGTTTCAAAGTCGCGTCGTCACCGCCGGAGAGAAATCCTCGCCCGTCCTTAAAGCTGTACGATGGGGAGAGATACATTGTAGCAATACATGCTTTCCTTTGTTAACCTCTTGGTGCCGGCCGAACGCAAATGTGCAGCCTCCGGCGTCTGGGCCCAGACAACGAGCCGCACATTTGCGCTCTATTAAAAAAAAAAATATATGTGCTGAGAGCACACACCCTTCACGCTCCAAGAACACATGTCCGGTGCTCACGGAAAGGTCCCGATCTCCTCTTTCAATCGGGACCTTTCCCGATCATGTGACCTCCATGATTCACTGTCACATCACCCTAAAATCCCGCCTCCCGGCTTCTGGAACCCTTAAAGGTCCGGGTAGGCGGCGGCCCCAAGGGGTTAAAGAAGAACTAAACTCACTAAATCAACATGAACTATTTTTAGTCCATATACGGCTAGAATTAGTAAATAGACAGCCAGTCGTATTATATTTACTTGTTTTGAACTTTTTTTTTACATTTCTAAATGCTACCCGGTTTCTGACCCTAGGCCAAAAATGATGTCATACATCCCACAAGTCTTCATGGGAGGAGGAGTTTTCTTAGCTAACCTTACCCTCCTGTCTGCATGCCTGAGCTAAGGGCAGATTAATTCCAGGAAGTAAATGCTACATGAATCATGGGCAGCACAGTGGCTAAGTGGTTAGCACTTCCGCCTGGCAGTACTCGGGTCGTCGGTTCAAATCCCAACCACTCGTTAGAACCCGCAACTTGGCATTGCATGCCATTATTAAGCTTGTGATCTACCAGAACTCCCAGATCCTTCTCCACCATTGACCCCCCCAGATCCTTCTCCACCATTGATTCCCCCCAGATCCTTCTCCACCATTGATTCCCCCCAGATCCTTCTCCACCATTGACCACCCCAGACCCTTCTCCACCATTGACCCCCCAGATCCTTCACCATTGACCCCCCCAGATCCTTCTTCACCATTGACCCCCCCCAGATCCTTCTCCACCATTGACCCCCCAGATCCTTCTCCACCATTGACCCCCCCAGATCCTTCACCATTGACCCCCCTAGATCCTTCTCCACCATTGACCCCCCCCAGATCCTTCTCCACCATTGACCCCCCCCAGATCCTTCTCCACCATTGACCCCCCCAGATCCTTCCACCATTGACCCCCCCCCCAGATCCTTCTCCAACATTGACCCCCCCCCAGCTCCTTCTCCACCGTTGACCCCCCCCCCCCAAATCCTTCTCCACCATTGACCCCCCCCCAGATCCTTCACCACCATTGACCCCCCCCAGATCCTTCTCCACCATTGACCCCCCCAGATCCTTTACCATTGACCCCCCTAGATCCTTCTCCACCATTGACCCCCCCCAGATCCTTCACCATTGACCCCTCCAGATCCTTCTCCACCATTAACCCCCCCAGATCCTTCTCAACCATTGACCCCCCCCCAGATCGTTCTCCACCATTGACCCCCCCACATCCTTCTCCACCATTAACCCCCCCAGATCCTTCTCCACCATTGACCTCCCCCCGCAGATCCTTCTCCACCATTGACCCCCTAGATCCTTCTTCACCATTGACCCCCCCAGATCCTTCTCCACCATTGACCCCCCCCAGATCCTTCTCCACCATTGACCCCCCCAGATCCTTCTCCACCATTGACCCCCCCCCAGATCCTTCTCCACCATTGACCCCCCCCCAGATCCTTCTCCACCATTGACCCCCCCCCCAGATCCTTCTCCACCATTGACCCCCCCCAGATCCTTCTCCACCATTGACCCCCCCAGATCCTTCTCCAACATTGACCCCCCAGATCCTTCTCCACCGTTGACCCCCCAGATCCTTCTCCACCATTGAGATCCTTCTCCCCTTTGACCCCCCCCAGATCCTTCACCATTGACCCCCCAGATCCTTCTCCACCATTAACCCCCCCAGATCCTTCTCAACCATTGACCCCCCCCAGATCTTTTCTCCACCATTGACCCCCCCAGATCCTTCTCCACCATTAACCCCCCCCCCAGATCCTTCTCCACCATTGACCCCCCCAGATCCTTCTCCACCATTGACCCCCCCCAGATTCTTCTCCACCATTGACCCCCCCCAGATCCTTCTCCACCATTGACCCCCCCCCAGATCCTTCACCATTGACCCCTCCAGATTCTTCTCCACCATCAATCCCCCACACATGATGAATGGATTTCAATGGTATTTACTTATCCCAAAATGTAGCTTTAAAAACAAAAACATGCTAACACTTGTATGAGGTTCTAGTTATTGGGTTTAGATCTACTTTAGTTGTAACCCCCGGCCTGTCTACCTATCACATGTGAGGTCTACAGAACAAACCCCTCCCCCCACCCATCCTCATTTTAGACTTATGTCCCCTATTCATTTAGGTGGTGTCTAATAGTGTTAGGAAATGTCCGAAAGTGTCACCTTCTCCGGTTTCCTCCAGCATATTTCTCTTTCTTACTTTTTAAATAGTTTTAGGAATGTGCGGGATGCCTCCTGACAAATGGGCACCTGTCTCGGGGCCCCGGCATGACCCCTGCTGGGAGAGCATCCCTGACCTCTGCACTCCATTTATTGTTTGTAGCCTTTTCAGCCGCCACTGTAACTGTATCCGGGGCCGTGTGTACATTTCCCCCAAGGTCAGCGCTATTTTTCAGCCCCCCCCCCCCCCGTCATCCTTTCGCTGGAATTTCTCGCCTGTATTTGTCAGGCTTAGTGGGGTGCGAGAAGTAAGATGTCTCTCATGTCCGAGACGACGGCCCTGAAGCCCATTCGTGTTTTTCTTCTCATCTCATCCTCCAAATTCACTGTCATGTACAAAGCACACAGGATTCTGGGTGAGAGCCTGAGGTAATAATGTGCAGCATGGCACGGTCACATCTCTTCTGAAGATTATTGATGACCCCATAGAAATGTGAGAAGACTTCAAAGATGGCCGGCGGGTGGCATGGCTTGCAGGGAACTCATAAATATAAATAGGAGAACTCCTATGAACTTTCTTTCTGGTCTGGCTCATATCAGGCTGTTGATGTGGAAGGGAGATGCATGGCGAGAGCGCGGTCATCTTGCTCCGTGACTTGATCTGCTATATCTTTTCACGGTATTATCAGCTGTGGTGATGGTTCAACAACTGGAAGGCAGATGTCCATCCTTCCAAAACCACTTTATTTGTGTCTCATCATCTCTGGAGGCTTCATTATCTTTCTAATAGTATGATTAACTTCCTGTTGCTGCAGGGAAAAGGTGATCATGGCAATGACGTATGCGGCTGTTTTGTTTTGTGGGGTGAGCATGTGTATCATGGCAAACATCCATACACAACTCAAGTAATCTAACAGACTTTACATATATTGCTGCACTCCATAGAGAATTGGTTCAGACCTGCAACACCAATACGAACTGCACCAAGGAAGCCGAAGGGGCACTCTTTGGATGAGTAGGCCCCGATGTGGGTGCTTGTCAGACTCGTAGACTTCACCTCCGCAACATCTCCAAGATACGCCGTTCCTAACCTCGGAAACCACTAAGCAACTCATTCACTGCCTCATATCACGCCTCGACTACTGTAACTCCCTCCTCATTGGCCTACCTCATCGCAGGCTATCCCCTCTTCAGTCTATCATGAATACTGCTGCCAGACTCATCCACCTTACTAACCGTTCTGTATCTGCCACCCCCCTCTGCAAATCCCTCCACTGACCTCCACTCAGTGTCCTCCACCCCTCTCTGCCAATCCCTCCACTGACCTCCACTCAGTGTACTCCATCCCTCTCTGCCAATCCCTCCACTGGCCTCCACTCAGTGTCCTCCACCCCTCTCTGCCAATCCCTCCACTGGCCTACACTCAGTGTCCCCCACTCCTCTCTCTGCCAATCCCTCCACTGACCTCCACTCAGTGTCCTCCACCCCCCTCTGCCAATCCCTCCACTGGCCTCCACTCAGTGTCCTCCACCCCTCTCTGCCAATCCCTCCACTGGCCTCCACCCCTCTCTTCCAATCCCTCCACTGACCTCCACTCAGTGTCCTCCACCCCCCTCTGCCAATCCCTCCACTGGCCTCCACTCAGTGTCCTCCACCCCTCTCTTCCAATCCCTCCACTGACCTCCACTCAGTGTCCTCCACCCCCTCTGCCAATCCCTCCACTGGCCTCCACTCAGTGTCCTCCACCCCTCTCTGCCAATCCCTCCACTGGCCTCCACTCAGTGTCCCCCACCCCTCTCTTCCAATCCCTCCACTGACCTCCACTCAGTGTCCTCCACCCCCCTCTGCCAATCCCTCCACTGGCCTCCACTCAGTGTCCTCCACCCCTCTCTGCCAATCCCTCCACTGGCCCCCACTCAGTATCCTCCACCCCTCTCTGCCAATGCTTCCACTGACCTCCACTCAGTGTCCTCCACCCCTCTCTGACAATCCCTCCACTGGCCTCCATTCAGTGTCCTCCATCCTTCTCTGACATTCCCTCCACTGGCTTCCAATTGCCCAACGGATAAAATTCAAAACACTAACACTGACGAATAAAGCCGTTCATAACACTGCCCCAAATTACATCACCAATCTTGTCTTCAAATATCACCCAAACCGTACTTTCCACTCCTCATAAGACCTCCTGCTCTCTAGCTCCCTTGTCTCCTCCTCCCATGCTCGTCGAAAGGGCTTCCCCCATCCTCTGGAACTCCCTACCCCAATCTATCAGACTATCGCCTACTCTGCTCACTTTTAGGCGCACTCTGAAAACCTGTCTCTTCAGAGAAGCCTACCCTGCCCTCTGCTTACACTGGAATCCTCTACTCTCCCAACCACTCCATCCACCACAGTTATTACCTTTTGTACCCATCACCCCTCCCTCCTAGATTGTAAGCTCCCAGGATCAGGGCCCTCGAATCCCTCTTGTATTGAACTGTATTGTTGCTGTATTGTCTTCCACCATAATGTAAAGCGCTGAGCAAACTGTCAGCGCTATAGAAATCCTGTATAATAATAATAATTGTCAGCTATCCCTGCGTAGATGCCAACTGCTAAATGATGAAATCTCTAGTCACCTGGTGGTGACACTAGGACCCTGTGTTATGCAACACGGCCAAAACAAGGGCCATTGTGCAACTGGAAACAGGCATGGCACGCTTTTTTGGCTTTATGGTGGGACATTCAGATCTACTAGGTGCTGATATCTGTTACCTGGTATTGATGTCTGAACTTCCTTTATGGCCGCAATGAGGGCCATTAGACAAGTGTGTGTATTACACTGCTTCTGTGGAAGGATATTCAGACGCTACATACTGGTTGTAATAGAAACTTAGAAAAGGACGAAAGAAAAATTGTGTGATAACGTGCTTGTGAGCTAAAATGTGGTATTTTATAAATTAATAAATGAATAAAAATGAGTAAAACAACTACAATTGTGGTGCATCAACACTAAAACACATACTTCTAAAACTGTGCAAATAAAAAATAAAATAAATGTGTCGCGCTCCACAGTGAATATATAATACCTAATACATAAAGATATGTAAATAAATACTAAGTGATATATTAATGTTATAAATGTCTTAAAGTTCACTTAAATACCAAAATAAATAACATCAGTATCAAAAAGTGCAAAAATTTCTATGAAAGTGCTTAAAAAATAGTGCTATAAAAGGTGCTGAAAATCATATAAATTATTAAAATATTAAACTAAAAGAAAGAAAATAGATCTAGTGGTCCATCAAGTCTATCTATCTATTATCTATCTATCTATCTATTATCTATCTATCTATTATCTATCTATCTATCTATCTATTATCTATCTATTACCTATCTATCTATCTATCTATCTATCTATCTATCTATCTATCTATCTATCTATCTATCTATCTATCTATCTATCTATCTATCTATCTATCTATCTATCTATCTATCTATCTATCTATCTATCTATCTATCTATCTATCTATCTATCTATCTATCTATCTATCTATCTATCTATCTATCTATCTATCTATCTATTATCTATCTATCTATCTATTATCTATCTATCTATCTATCTATCTATCTATCTATCTATCTATTATCTATCTATCTATCTATTATCTATCTATCTATCTATCTATCTATCTATCTATCTATCTATCTATCTATTATCTATCTATCTATCTATCTATCTATCTATCTATCTATCTATCTATCTATTATCTATCTATCTATCTATCTATCTATTATCTATCTATCTATCTATCTATCTATCTATCTATCTATCTATCTATCTATCTATCTATCTATCTATTATCTATCTATCATCTATCTATCATCTATCTATCTATCAGTATATCTGCTTGCCTGTACGACAGATATATACTGGCAGGAAGAGTCAATGAACTACCACAGCCCTCCACAGCGCCCTGGTAGCTCACTGAAGACTACAAGGCAACAGCCTCTAATGCTGTTGGGGCTTGTAGTCCATTCATTCACAGAATACTTCGCCGACACAGCCGCTGTTTTAAAAAAGTGACGGTTCTCCATGGTCTTCAGCTACTTGCACGATTCTCCATGGTCTTCAGCTGCTTGTACGTTTCTCCTTGGTCTTCAGCTACTTGCACGGTTCTCCATGGTCTTCAGCTGCTTGTACGTTTCTCCTTGGTCTTCAGCTACTTGCACGGTTCTCCATGGTCTTCAGCTGCTTGTACGTTTCTCCTTGGTCTTCAGCTACTTGCACGGTTCTCCTTGGTCTTCAGCTGCTTGCACGGTTCTCCATGGTCTTCAGCTGCTTGCACGGTTCTCCTTGGTCTTCATCTGCTTGCACAGTTCTCCATGGTCTTCAGCTGCTTGCATGGTTCTCCTTGGTCTTCAGCTGCTTGCATGGTTCTCCATGGTCTTTAGCTGCTTGCACGGTTCTCCATGGTCTTCAGCTGCTTGTACGGTTCTCCATGGTCTTCTGCATGGTCTCCTTGGTCTTCAGCTGCTTGCACGTGTCTCCTTGGTCTTCAGCTGCTTGCACGGGTCTCCTTGGTCTTCAGCTGCTTGCATGGGTCTCCTTGGTCTTCAGCTGCTTGCTCCTTGGTCTTCAGCTGCTTGCACGGTTCTCCTTGGTCCTTGGCTGTTTGTATGGTTCTCCATGGTCTTCAGCTGCTTGTACATTTCTAGTTGGTCTTATGGTTCTCCTTGGTCTTTAGCTGCTTGTACAGTTCTCCTTTGTCTTCAACTGCTTGCATGGTTCTCCTTGGTCTTCAGTTCTCCTTGCTTGCCAGGCTGTCCTTGAACTCATCTGCTTGTACAGTTCTCCTTGGCCCTCAGGAAAGGATAAATGTTCTAATTTCTGAGATCTGGGGATGGTTAATGTTTCTCAAAGTTGTTAACGGAACTCTACTAATGAAAGTCTGGATACAATCAGGACCTTCACGAAAACTGCCTTTTAATTTCGGTCCATATCTCAGCGGACCAGATGTGCGAGACTAATTACCTCCATATTGATGGTTCATCAATTAGGAATTTCCTGTTAATATTCTTATGAGTCACATGACCTGACTGGGATAACATGCCATTGACATTTTATAAATTCAAGCAACTCAGTTGTAATTATTTGCACACAATTCAGGTGATGTTTCATACTTTGTGTATGTCCACCTTAAAGGTGAATTATGATCTTTTGTACAATTTTATTTTTGCAATTTATTATTATTTTATGTAAATTTTAAATATTTGAATTTACTCTTTAAAAATATTTTTTATGTGTTTACTGTGTGAGTGTATACAGTATGTGTGTGAGATCAACCATTCTTGCTTGGCCATAAGAGACAAATTACATGTGGAGACAAATTACATGAATAAGATTCACATGTGTCCAGCCAAGCCAGTGCATACATGGCAAGATTCACCTGTGTCTAGCCAGTGCCTACATGGCAAGATTCACCTATGTCCAGCCAGTGCCTACATGGCAAGATTCACCTATGTCCAGCCAGTGCCTACATGGCAAGATTCACCTATGTCCAGCCAGTGCATACATGGCAAGATTCACCTGTGTCTAGCCAGTGCGTACATGGCAAGATTCACCTGTGTCTGGCCAGTGCGTACATGGCAAGATTCACCTGTGTCTGGCCAGTGCCTACATGGCAAAATTCACCTGTGTCTGGCCAGTGCCTACATGGCAAGATTCACCTGTGTCCGGCCAGTGCCTACATGGCAAGATTCACCTGTGTTCAGCCAGTGCCTACATGGCAAGATTCACCTATGTCCAGCCAGTGCATACATGGCAAGATTCACCTGTGTCTAGCCAGTGCCTACATGGCAAGATTCACCTGTGTCCAGCCAGTGCATAGATGGCAAGATTCACCTGTGTCCAGTCAGTGCATGCATGACAAGATTCATTTGTGTCCAGCCACTCCATAAATGACAAACATTCACATGTGTCCAGCCAGTCCTTACATGGCAAGATCCTCGTGTTTCTAGCTAGTCCATACATGACAAGATTCACATGTGTCCAGCCAGTCCATACCTGAACAAGATTCACTTGTGTCCCGCTTGTCCATACATGACAAGATTCACATGTGACCAGCCAGTCCATACATGACAAAGATTCACATGTGTCCAGCCAGTCTATACATGACACGATTCACATGCGTACAGCCAGTCTATACATGACACGATTCACATGCGTCCAGCCAGTCTATACATGACAAGATTCACTTGTGTCCAGCCAGTCCATACATGATAAAGATTCACATGTGTCCAGCCAGTCCATACATGGCAGGATCCACATGTGTCCAGCTAGTTCATACATGACAAGGGGCATGGCCGAGCCACTGCTCTGTGTGCAAATGGACATGCTGAGCAGCGGCTAGGGAGCAGCTAATGAGGAGAGAAAGGGGGCAGAGCCGAGCCACTGCTCTGTGTGTGAATGGACATGCTGAGCAGCAGCAGCTCGGGAGCGAGCCCGCTTGGGTGCCCTCAT